TAGAACTTGTAAGCACCGAAGCTCCTGAGTTCAAAGTTCGCGAGAGGGAACATGGATGCACACTGCTAAGTAGTTGTATACCGGGACAAAGTGTCCGTTTAGCTCCTCCAGGTTTTTAATCGAAGTCCATCACCAATCGGTTCACGTTTCCAATGAAATACCACACATAATCTTCTGTACGCATCTTCATTACAGAATCCAAATATCAAAATGACTTATAGCAAGTACTAGCGCTCTCAGATAAACCCATACACCTGCACTTAACGAGTACAGATACATAAAACTAAAGGCACTTAGTCTTAGTCGTTGAATATATCTTTGAGTATTTTCAGTATCCATAGGTATTACGGTCTTTCTGTAACTACTGAGGTCGGACTATTTTATTGTTTCTCTGTTTATTTATATGGAAACATAAAACAAATCTATGGAGAAATCGAAACATAGTTGTGGTAGACCGTCATGCTATTTGCCGGTCGATGAGGGGACGCAATGCATTAACTGTAATAAGTGGTATCACAATTTGTGCACCGGACTCACACCGGCTGTATATAAACAGTGCTGCGAGCCATTATCACGTTGGCCGTGTGAAACATGATGTTCTACTAAGTCTCTGCTGATTCTAGAGGTGATCGAGCTACTAAACTTAGCTAGGGAATCGCCCCCTGATAAACAGGCAGCAGATGATCAAAACTCTGCTCTCGAACAAGTTGAGAGCGTTATCATGAGCCCGGCACTAAACTTAAATGAGATTATAAAGGTGAACTTCATCAGGGAAACAGATAAGCATATAGATGTAGGCATTGTTACTAGGAGAAAGAAGAAGCGCGCCTAGAAGAAGGAACTACCTGTAGACCGTACTGAAGCATGTGAATCTACGGGTTTAGTTTCGGATTCACACATCAATGTAATACAAACTATAGGTGAGCCAATCCTGAGCAACGTAGAGGAAGTGATCAAGAGACAAAATGAGATAAATGAGTGGCTCACAGTCACACCCAGGAAAAGAAAAGTGAGAAAACAGAACGTAACCCCTGCGTTTGACGCTGAGTTAAAATTAGAGTGCAAGGAAGAGACGGTTTCAGGAACTAAAATTCCACAGCATGTCAAAACAGACCTCGCCAAAGGGTCAGTCATTTTCCATAAGTTAGGAGAATCTTCCGATAAGGAACCAATCGCTAAGTTTGAGCACGACCTCGGTCATATTAAGTTCTTAACAAAGGAGCTACTCCTGTGAAAAGTTTCAAGAGTTAGCACCTGCAAGCTTTATAGAATAGGACAAAAGGTGAAGTCCAAAATTCTCAGAAAAGCCTCCTCTTGAAGGTTGCATTTGCCACAGTTGAAAAAAGGAACCTGATTGTTGGTACATCACGTAAACTGATTGGATCCGGAATATACGTCCGTGAGGATCTCGTCCAAGCTGATCGTATTAAGAGACGAGCTGCAGAAGTGGAAAAAAGCGAGCGCCGCCAAAACGATGAACGAAACTTCGTTCTTAAGGGTTTGGAAATTGTAAAAGTTCGGAACAAAATGGTCCACAAACCACTCTGTGTGATAAGGGAAAGTTCTCCATGGACCTAAAGGTATGCTAAACAAATGCTCGCAGCCTACTAAATAAAATGGTCGAGCTCAAGTCACTGGCAGATAAAGAAAACTCGAATGTTACTGCTTTCTCAGGAACTATGTTTACGTCAGAATTATTAGATAATGAAATTCAGTTGACTGATTTTTTATCCAATAGGGCTGTCAGATTAAACTGCGGGGGAGGCAGAGTTATCTTGTACACTATAATTACCATAACCAGCAGTTGAGACATTGGCACATGTTTCAGGGACATGTGAATTAGTGCAATGTAATCTTAAATGTAGACGGAAGAAAATGAATATGTTGTAGTATGCCGCAGTCCACAATGTGTAATAAATGATTTTCTCCTAAGTAAACTTGCGTCCTGGTGTAACATTGGTAAAAGCCTTGTAATAGGCGACCTTAATTCACCGTATATAACCTGTGTTACCCTAGAACTAGGGTCAGCGATAACGTCGTTCGATTGCAAACTATTAGAAACCTCGATTGTATCAGCTTTGTTCCAACACATTAGAACTCCCACACGATATGACTTAAGAAACACTTCTCTTTTAGATTTAGTCTTCATGCACGATGACAACGTTGGTCAAACGACTTTCCTCCCACCACTAAGGAGAAGTGACCATGCAGTCATATTGTTCAAATTCACGGCTGAGATTGCCTATCAAACAGTTGCGCCGGCATGTCCTAATATATGGAAGGCAGATATGAAGGCAATCAACTCCGCAGCATCGGCTGAAAACTGGGAAGTTGACTCAATGGCATCAGTACAAGAGGCATGGACTCATTTCAGGCAATTATGCAATCTTTAAAACAGTTAGTCCCTTTGATAAATTTCGATAATGCAATGAGAAGACGAAGTTTATCAGAATTATGTGATATATTAGCGCAATACATTTCGAACAATCTGATCACACATATACTTTTTAAGAGCATTTATATATAAAAAATGAACGGTCAACTAGACAGGTTAAGGGTTAGTCATAACAAAGGAAAAATATTAAAGTACACAAAACAAATGTGATTACCACTCTGGATAATAAATCAGTATTACCAGGGTAGGTTAAGTGTAAGGACAAATTGTTTTTGAACACATAAAGGGGGTTTTAGTTTCCGTATAGCCAAGGCTTCAATAAACCTTAGTATACGTCCTTGAAGGCTTTTGTATAACACTACAAATGCTGATTTGATGTCGACTTTATGACCCGTCTCAATCAAATGTTTCGCAATGGAGGATGATGTCTGTCTATCCTGTGATCTTATTTGACCATTGGATGTGACACAATCGCTTACGTGCTGTTTGGGCTTTTGGTGAAACATAGAACATGTCTTTTCAATAATGACAAGTTGGGCTGCATAAAATGTCCGGTTGATGGCTAATTTAAGTCTCCGTTTCAACAATCGGATAACTCACCCATACATACACTAGATAGTCCCAAAGAAGAAGCACGGCCATCCCTGAATAGGCCGGGATATTCGACGTCTACTAAGACAAAGGAAGAAATAATGGAATGTTGCTATCCGCCTTGACACATCAGGTACTATGGAACGCTACAGATCGGTAACTAAAATTCGAGATCAGAGAAAATACGTAATGACGTTGGCACAATCTACACTCAAGCAGCCCAAGAGAATATTCTCGTACATAAACTACAGAACAAGGATGTATCATTGGATTCCCGATCTAATTAAAGAAGGAAATCTGAAATGATAGAGGAAGATCAGGAAAAAACAGAGTCTATGGTAGACTATTTTGGGGCAGTTTTCACTCAGGAACCTCCTCTAGACAAAGAACCAGACCAAAATAAAGAGTTAACCGACCACTTGCTCACCGTGGACTTCGATCAAGGCGATATGCTTAAGGCTCTTAGCATCTTAAACATGGAAAAGTCAAAAGGACCAGATGAACTACACTCCAAAATCTCGAGACATATTGCACTTAATATCGCGGATCCACTGACTGTGATATTCAATATGTCACTTGACCAAGGTGTGTTACCAATTGACTGGAAGGACGCAATCGTCACCCCCATACATAAAACAGGACCAAGACAATTTTCATCGAACTACAAACCTGTAAGCCTCACCAGTGTTGTAATTAAAATATTGGAAAGAATAGTCAAACGTACCATAATGGCATATATGGAAACCAATAACTTGTTAAAAAAGGAACAAGATGGCTTTAGAAAGGGTTTATCTTGTACAACGAACCTCCTTATAGCAAGGGAATTTCGGATAAAGGCACTAGACAACGGGAACTCAGAGAATGTTCTCTACATAGATTTCAGTAAGGCTTTTGACAAGGTGCCAACTAATAGACTGCTACTAAAGTTAGAAAACCTTGGTATTGCCGGACCTCTTTTAAAATGGATTAAGGGTTTCCTAGGAGGTCAGAGACAGAAATAAAGGTAAATTCCAAGTGATCCATCTGGATACCAGCACTTAGTGGAGTATCTCAAGGTTCCGTCCCAGGTCCTTTACTTTTTACACTGTATGTAAATGATCTTCCAAGTATAGTACAATCTCCAATGTTATTATAGGCTGACGATGTTAAAATCTGGCGAGTAATAACTGGAGACGCAGACGCATGCGCACTCCAGGCAGACTTAAATAACATGGTTAACTGGTCTAAAGAGTGTCTGATGCCTATCAACGCGACAAAGTGTGTCTACGTGCACTGCGGGGACTCAAATTTTAATAGGTATAACATAGGGGAAGTACAATTACCGGTGGTTTGGTCTCATAAGGATCTTGGGTTGACAGTAAGTCATGGCCTCAAGACGACAGCCCATTGCCGGTAGGTCGCAGCTAAGGGGTTTCGAACCCACTGGGCATTAAAACGGACATTCACTAAGCTAGATACTACCATGTTCATCAAAGTATACACATCCTTAGTGCGAAATAAGCTTGCGAACTGAGTTCAGGCTGCAAGCACCTGTCTAAAAGGTAACTCGGATATGATGGAAAAAGTACAGAGGACAGCTACCCGTGCAACTCCAGAACCCCGGGGTTTACCATACAGATATCGGCATGAAAAGCTAGACCCCTTTACTCTGTCCTGTGCAGACTAAGGGTAGATCTAATTTTTAATGTACAAAATACTGAGAAATGATTTTGGACCTAACTTATTGTCTCTCTTTCTTCCAACTAGATCAGGACATCTTAGAGAACATAGCAGGCGAGTAGAAAGGCCACGAACGGACAAAATACCAGTGGCATACAGGTTTTCACACCGAGTCATCAATACTTGGAACCTGCTGCCCGAAGCAGTGGTGTTCGCACCTTCAATTGACCCTTTCAACAGAAGACTGAACACTCACAGAAGCATTTCAGAAAAGTAATAACAAAGGCCTTAAGACTTCTGTCTTTACTACACAAATCGGAATCTGTTACATTTCAAATGCTATTGTCTATTGGACATTGTCTTTATGGTGCATTATTTGTGTAGTTGCGTTACTATAATCTCACAATTATGACTGACGAGTCTGATCCTCACCGAATGTGGTGTGACCTTAAAGCCTGCATAGATAAAAAGCCACCAGATACCTGTTCTGCTGCAACACAGGATGAGTATTTTGTGGGAATCCAGAGTAGCTTTGTTCAGTTAATCACACGTTTCCCTCTCTTCGCCGTTGAACATAAAATAGAGTTAGAAATGTGGAATGTTCTATACAAAACTCAGATTAACTCACTACAGTCGTTGGTAAGCGTTCAAATATCTTTCATTATTTTTTTGTAAATGAGCATTTAAGTTGACTAGGTGCACGTAGCCGACTGAAACATTCAAATAAACATGCTTATTTGGTGAGACTATGATTTATGAACGACCTTTGAGCCAAGCTAGACTGACCTTGAGTACCCACCTAATATCTATGACCAAATGAGGGTTCTAAACTTGTGTGCGGAATTAGAATTATGTCTTACAGTTGATGATTAACGTTAGGAATTAGATTTTGGGTTTTCATCACGAACTGACATCAGCTTTAATGCCAAAACTATTTAAACAAATTGGATAAGTGAATTTCACGCCAATACCGAGGCATTTTATCATATACCTTGTTGGTTTGTCTTTAAGTTATAGTCTCGCTGCTTATTTTATAACTTTCTAATTAAACAAGAACGGGAAAGTACAGTCAAAAAGCTTGCTGCTGTCGGGTTATTTAAGCATTTCTGGCGAAATCTTTCGATTCCTTATGACCAGGGAAATGACTTTTAGTTGCAATATCGTCTTCAATTTTTCTTAAGCTATGTTGCCTATACTTTCACTAAGTCCCCGTTTATTTCCTCATTCTTGCTTGAGTTGTAGGTCATCAGGCTCCGGGTGCTGTAAAATGTATTGATATCGTAGATAAGATTGTCTTAAGGAATTCACTGGCAGTTCTGCTTCGACACTTTTTAATGTACGTGATAGTCCGCTTTGAGTTTTCCACAAATAACGCATGGGTAGCATCCATAAAAAGTTGCACAGATATGTATCATACTTCGCGACACAGTAAAAGTTGAAGATATTAGGAGAATAGAATAAAGGTTGATTTAAACATATTTGCATATGAAGGCACGGAAAATACAGTTCCTCATGAATAAGTATGACTAAACAATGATGTTTAACTTAATAATGACAGAAAGTATGCAACTACGTCATTGAGATTTATTCTGAACTACATCACCCATAGTCTCCAAACGCTAATTAAAAGTATTTCGTGAGCCTTACACCTTGTGGATCAAATTATTGATCCTCATAAAACTGTATCATAGCTTGATTTACCTAGTTCTGGCTATTTTTCAACCTACTCTCATGTTAGCCAACATTCTACATCAACTCAGGAGTATTCAAGCATACGTAATACATTCTAGCCATTTCATTCTCTCTACCGGGATTTCAAGGTTCTGCCAGTATTTTTCTAACTTTGTATATTTATTATTTTCCATCAATATGATACCTAAGCAATTGAGTTGTTAGCTGATTAATTCTAGTATCTATTTTATCTTGAAATGAATCGTCCGAGATTATCTTTTCTAGTTAAACCAACGTTTATCCGGTACCGGAAACAGTGGATCTCTTAATTGTTCTACTATGGAGCTCAAACTTCGATTGGTTTTATTGTTAGATCGTGCTTCAGGTATATATTTCAATCTTATCTACCAATTACTTCAACCAATTTCTGAACTTCCATGGCCTAAAGTGGTATGTCCTGAATATTGTATCATTAATAACTAAAAGGTTGTCACTATTTTTTATGGAGATCAGGGGTGTTGGATAGTCACTTTCCAATTTCGATTATTCGTAAATCCACGTTTCATCTCTATTTATTGTCAGTAATTGAAATGTAACCTACCCAGAGTAGTTATCGTGACATATTTGCAGGCCTTAGTTATCGCAGCGACCCATTTGAACGACACGCAAGAACAAGATCTCCTTGGAGTTCTGTCGTAGCAGCACGCCGTTCAAAGGCGGTAGAACTAAAAAGTCACAATTAAGAGTTGAGTTTCCCCTTGATGTCTTAGTGAAAATTCTTACTACACATCTAACGAGATTGTTACGTAAGCAGGTATTTCTTTATGGCTACCGATACTATGCAGTGTATCGTACTTTGTCTTTGCGATTTATGTTGTAAATCATTTATTTGGGGAGTAACAGGAATCCAGATTTGGTGTTACTTAATCAAAAATTTCAACATGTTCACGGGGACTACATATACCATACCAATTATATATATCAGCAGAAAGCTCATTACCAACTTCTTTTCTTTGTCTAACCACAAATGACTCTTCTCAATACAACTTAGGGATGTTGCCCTTGCTTTGCCGATCATGGCATTCACATCTGCATCAGGTCCTTCCTGTTTATCGGTGGTGCTGCGCAGGTACGTGAGTCTTCACATCATTCACAGCCTCTTCGTCACGTGCGATTCAGTTGATGTTCTCCGTGTTATATTTGAGGACCCAGCGTTTTCTATTGTGTAAGTTGAGGTCTATTGCTGCAGAGACTTGCTACATTGTCTTTCATCTGCATTTTTTGGTTTATGCGTGGGATAGAAGAGCTAGGTCATCTGCAAAGTCCAAATCGTCTAGTTGCATCCAAAATGCCCGTTGTATTCCTTGCTTCTCTTGAAATTTAGAGGTCTTTATAACCCAGTCAACTACCAAAAGAAACGGAAAGGGTGTATGTAAGCAGTCTTTTTTATTCCGGTTCTCACTTGGAATGCGTGTCAGCTGTCCTCCATCCACGATTTCGCAGTGTAGTCCGTCGTATGAATTCAGTATGATATTGGCGATCTCAGGTACACCATAGTGTCGAAGAAGGTCCCATAAGGTCTTCCTATCCACGCTTTCAAAGGCCTTCTCATAATCAAGGAAGTTGATGGATGGTGACGAGTTCCATTCAGTTGATTGTTCAACAATGATCCGTAGTGTAGCGATTTGGTCTGCGTACAACCGATCCTTACGGAATCTCAAAGGTGGACGTATATTAAATCTTTCATCTGATTCAGCAACACTGTTGAAACTTCTGGTACCGACAGTAGTGTGAGGTCTTTGCAGTTTTCACACTTTCTCAGATCTTTCTTTGGTATCTCGATGAGTTACCCTTCTTTCCAGTCTGTCGGTGGCATTGTTCCTCGTCCAAAATCTTCCTAAATAGAATGTGAAGCGTGTTTGCAGTTGTTTCTATGTGTGACTTCAGTGCTTCGGCTGGTATATTGTCAGGTCCTACTGCTTTCCCACTCTTGACTTGTCTGATAGCCATCCTGATTTCTTCCGTCGTTGGTGGAGTGTGCGTGTTGCTTTGATGTCCGTTGGATCCAATGGAGCTGGACTATTCAAGAGTCTCTCGAAATGTTCTACCCATCCTTCCTCTGTTCTTGAATCTCGATAATCGGCCTGTCTTTTTTGTCCTGGACCGCCCACTCTGGTTTACCATATTTCCTTTCCAGTTTCTTCGTTGTGTCATATAGTTGTCTCACATTTCCTTCTCCTACAGCTTCCGCTGTCGCTGATAGCTCTGCCACGTATTTCTGCTTTTCAGCTCTAATGCTCTACTTCACTTGTTTGTTTGTTTCCGTGTATTCAACTTGTGCCCTGACTCTCTGTTCCTTTTTGACTTCTGTTACTTGCTGTCTTCTTGTTCTTCCTTTCTTGAATCTTGTCTTGTGCTTCAATTGAAATCCCTTCCTTATGATGATGCTTGTTGTGGTCCAGCACCTCTCTGATACGTTGAAATTAGTGCTTCTTTGATCCCTTTCTAGTCGTCCTCCATCGCAGTTTCTTCTTCTTTGAGATCTTGTACAGTTGGAACCTGTTGTTGAGAGCTATCTTGAATTGGTTGAGTTTGTCAACATGTCGAAGGAAGGCTGTGTTGAACCTTTGTGCTGCTGTCTCCCCAGCTGTCCATTATTTTTTCAGCTTCGATTTCGCCTTAGCAATCACCAGCTAGTTGTGTTCTATTGCCACGTCAGCTCCTTTCCTGTCAAGTTGTATCTCCCCATTTCCTCAACTTTTTAACTGGTCCTCTCAATCTCCCACACTGTCCGAACATTCTTATGCCTGTGTTAATTGTTGCTCTGGTTGTCAGAAGTGATATCGACCTCGTAACTTTCGAAGTATCTCGAGTTTCACTATGAATCGTCACCATTCTTCAAAATGAAGATTTTTCGACTCCATGGACAGAGTTTAAATGGTTTACATTGTTTTCCTGGTTAGCGTTTCTTTAACAATATTTCTTACTACGGGATGGCTTTGCTGATCACATGCCCAACTTCCCTACTTTACCAGGGCTTAGGACCGTCGGTAGCCCTAGAAGGGTTGCAAACGGAGTTATGAATAGTGTTAAATTTATTTCAGATCTTTTCATCTTTATTTTAAAACTCATACGCCTATAATTCACGTAATTAATTACCATCCCTAATAACAGCACATTTAAAGTAAGTATGCTTTGCCAAATAACTGTAATTAGGAGTGTACCACTTTTTTAAGTGAACTTTTAGGAAAGGAAATATTTTCGCTGGATTCTATTTACTTTTTTATTCCCAAAAAGCTTATCATCAATATCGGTTTCAAATATTTTTTGGTTAACGTTTTTTAGCGAGTTAGTTTCCTACGTGATGGGGTCACTAACCTCATACTTAACCCTCCTCCTTTATCCGGGCTTGGGACCGGCAGGAGCCCCAGGCGGAGTTATCACCATTATTAATTGTTATTATGCTCATTTCCTTCGTCATACGGTACCATCTTGTCAACCCATCGCTGCTATTGGTTTCCACTCTTTGTTCTGTTTTCTGTCGATACAGGTACTGAGTTTCATTGGGAGCGTCGACAGCATCTTAGACTCAGAGAATAATAAGAAGGGGAAACATGTTTCCGATTACCTTGATCTAGATCTGGCAACTTTTTCTGCCAACAAAGCATGCAGTAAAAGAATGAAAAATACTGAAACAAACAAATTTTTATCAATCACACAAGAATCAGACACAAATGTTATTGCACCACGTATACTATCTAGAGGTGATCGACTTCCGTCAGAGATTATGACAGTTTCTTCAAGTGTAGAAAACAGTAAAATCAGCGGCCAAGCTATAAAATACCCCGATGAAATAGGAAACAAAAAGGAAAAAACTAATGTGAATACTAACCAAAGTTCTAATATTCACTGTTTGGATCAAGAAGCCGCTGTTATTTACCTAGTACATCATTGTTTAGTTCATCTTGGAGATATTGCACGGTTAGTCTATATGTCACGCTTTCTAATTGTGTTTTTTCAGTAACCATATATTTAACAAGTATCTTAACTTCGTTTAAGCGACTAAGCAGTTTGTAAACTTTTCACAGTGAATCTATTTTAACCGTAGTTGGCAGAGATTATTCGCATTTGCCTACATTCGTATTATGAAGAAGTAGTTTGAAAAACCTTCTCAATTTTTACTTTAATCTTAGGATTAGTTAACAAAATTTGGGTAAATAAAATGCTCATTATTCTTTCTATTTACATGCATAACATTAACTAGATACTTCCAACAACTTGATCTCATTTGACGTAGTGTTTTTATTATTCGTTAGTTACTTTTTTACTTTGTGACAACATGCACAACCTGTTGTGCGTGAATCAAAAACACAATTATTATTGCTCATAAAATCACTAGTATTCAGCTTTATTCAAACGTTAAGATAAGAGAGAGTTCTGATTCTCAAAGTTGTACAATCATAAGTATATACCTATTTCTTTCAAAATGATAGTTATGATAAAATCTAGTTAAACTCGATAACAATGAGGTAAAACAAATAAAAGCATAAAAATGTTATTATTATTAACGAAACTAATAATAGTAGTTTCCAAAAGCTTCAATATTCATTTTGAGGATAGTTAAAGTAATTATCGTTGGAAAAGGAAGGTAAAATTGGCTTGAGTATTCATCTCAGTTTCAACAATTTATCTCATCACACTAAACCTTCCCTTTCTAGTTATAATTTATCTTCATGATGAATATTTAAGCTCTCAACAGCAATATTACTATAAGCAAAAACTGATCAATTTTAGTCCTTAACATCAATAGGAAAATGCGAATAACCAATACAAAAATGAATTAAGCAATATTATGGTTATCAGAAAGGGTCTTGTGGAGATTTTAGGGATTTCACTAGTTGAAATCATGGATCAGTTGAAGCTAGACCACCATGGAAAACCTGGTAGCACTGAACAGCCGTTTCGTCTTAGTACGAGACTCCTCAGCAGTTCACATCCACTATCCCGCCCACCCCAACCCACTTTCACGGTTACTCATATTCATGTAAATTCTATGAAATTCTCGATTAATATTTAACCGCTACTGTTATTATTCCTAGATTGCTCCTAGTTCCATGTTCATTAATTACTATCATCAACAAACATATCGTCAATTAACATTATGAAAAAAGTATCTGTGTACGATTGTACGGGTTTGAGAGTCATTAATTTGCGTGAAACAGATCTTTCTGACACTCTATTTTGTTTTTGTAGTCTAATCTCTCAAGGTGTATATTTTTTCAGGTACCGTCAACAGCCAAATGTTGCTGCTGGTTATTACCTTTGGTCTTGGGTTGTACACCCTGATTCTGGTCATTCTTTCAACCAGTTAGCTATTTTAGAAGCAATTAAGGTAGTTAATCATCTTTTTTTTACATATTTGTGTAGAATTTGTAAACTGTTAAGTAAAGATTTAATTTGTAAGCCATTTTTCGTCACAGTTTGAAAACAATGGATCACTAGGTGGAAATTTCTTCCTATTTTCAGACTCCTAAGCAGTCCATGCCTATGATTGCCAAGTTCTACCTCTAGAACACTGAATTGAAATCTAGTAGTTTACATTGTTTGCATCAATCGAATCACAGCGTAGAGCAACCATCATTCAATGCCTGTAGTGTGAAAGAACAGTCTTACTCCTGACAAAGTCAGATTCCATTAGGCATGGTTGTTCATTCGAACTTCAGAATGAGTTCCAAAGCCATTTATTTGTGATTGACTTTCAACTAAAGATTTGATTGTATATTAAGTTTTAAATCGGAATGTGAACATAGGCATACCATTCAATCGTTTGTTTTCTATTATCCGAAGAGTTTTTGCAAAATATATCAAAGTTCAGACTTGGAAAACTTATTTCTCACTATTTATTAAGAAACAATCTTTCATGTAAGTTGATGACACCACTAAAGTGAGGATTTGCGTATTTAGTCAGATTTATCGGGCGATTCCAAGATAAAATATAATTGATTTTCTAAAACTCCAGAATTGTAAGTAAAAGTAAAATAAATTAGCTACAAAGATGTAATATTGTAAATACATATGTGATTGGAATTTTCTTAAACGTCCAGCTTTATGATACATCTTACTGTGAAATACACCAAATATAGAATAAGAATTTAAGATAGTTCAAAAGAACCAACAAGGAACTGTGATTAGTAAACAAACAGGCAATTAAGTCTTAACAAACAACATATCTGTAGTAAGTGTTCTTCATAGTCATCCCACAACAAATAAAATAATCAAAGTTTATCACTATCTAAGTCATATTTGTAAACAATAAAACGGCCAGTAATAATAAGACAAACTACAAGTACGCAATCAAGAATAAGACTTTTGATCAGTCATAATCAACAAACAGCCTGGTACATATGTGCGTTGACTCAAGTCCCCATATAATATTAGCACTAGATGAAATTAACAAATACTTAAAGTATTGCATCACCAATATTAATAAGAAAGACCAAACATTATGAATATGATTCGAAAAGATAATGTGGAAATGTGTTATAACGTGCGGTCTTTGTTGATAGATCACGAGATGATATCGCCTTATTGACCGGATCAATGACGCATAAACCAGTACGAACAGCCTATAGTCCTTATTGGTCCCTTGAGTTAGCAGCTTTTCTCCTAACCCAATCTATTCAGTTCAGAACGCAAATATCAGTCTCCGTTATATGGAATCGAATATTTCAAACAAACTTGGTTTATATGCAAGCAAAATCAGACCACATCACATTATAAAAGAAAAAGTAACATTTGTACAATATCAAGCCAAAACGTGGTTGTGATTGTGAGAAACTGTGACTAATGGGTTGAGAATAACTTGAGAATAGTAAATCATATAACATTAACCAATAGGTCAAATAAAAGCATATAATAAGAGGAATATAAATATATAGTTTAGTTTCTTAAAAGTTATACAATAAGAATATATGTATGATTTTAGTCCAGAAATAGTTTTCAGAAGTTACTCGTAGTTTAATCTTCACTAGGATATAACAAAAGGTATACATAAAGAGATACTCAAACCCAAGATCTGAATTAATACAACGAATGGATGCATCTATTAAATCGATCATGATTGCTGGTTTGTTCTAGTTTGTGTGAAACAATAAGGTACCTTACAAACTGTTATATAAGTTTAGGGAATAACAATACAATTTAATGACATAAACTGTCAGTATTTGTTAATATTGTTTATAAACTTGTTTCCCTATATATATATATATATATATATATATATATATATATATATATATATATATATATATATATAATGTATTTTTTTTAATTCTAGCCTTTACCTAGAAGATGTATAGATGCTTTGTTTTATTATTATATACGTGCACTAGCATGTCTACATTCATTTCCTGCTTCTATGAATAATTTATCTAATGTATTGTTGGACTATTACAAGTCATTTGAATTATCTTCTATGTATTTTAATGATAATAATAATCATGAGAAACTACCTACTGATTCAACGAGAGATGTAATGTTAAGTGCGAAACGCTGGCCAAAATTTACCAATCAACAAATACGAACACTTATACAGTTTTATGCAGCACTCCATTTGCATACAGGTACATAATATAGCTTATTATCTTTATTACGTAATAAATGAACTGTTCGATTATCACACAAATTACACTACTAATGCTATCAGATATTTAAACTACTGATAAAGTTTTTCCACCCGTGAAATATCGACCTTCTGGTGTGTATGACTTTTAAACAGTTTAAAATGTTTTGACCATCAGTATATTTCTATATCGTCCTTTCGATACAGTAATTATTTCTAATTCAAAAGTGTCAATATATTACATAATGACAGATATCCTAAAAAGTGTTTCATGAATAGGACAGATAATAATTCAATCGTTTACTTAATACAGAATTATTAAATATTTATTCACAGGCAATGAGATGTTGGCCTTACGTTGAGAAAAGTTGAAAGTGCTTCGCACTAACTAAGGATTTTCGAGGTGTGAAAAGACCTGGCTAAATTAAACACCATATTGTCACTAACAACTGATTTATGGTTTAGCTTATTGGTGATATCAGTTCAATATATGTTTGTAGGGGATTTTTGAGTTATATCCATGTGCGAACTCATCAGGTCTCATTCTGTCCGCAGTACACGGAAAAGGGTGGGAGAATTCAAACTACGCTCTAGTAATCTACTTTTAATTGATTCAGTATGAGTCAGTACTCCAGCTATTGTTCCTTATTTTAAGATCAATGGGGTTTTTCGTAACTTTGAAAAATATATCATGTAATCTATCTACCATTATATCTGCATTTGACGAACAAAGCAGTTCTGTTGTTCAGCATTTTAATTCTCAATGACTTTCTATGTATATGACCTCACAATTGGAGGTAATAATTTTTTCAGAATCTATTTCTTTTATTCGCACCATATTAGATCCTGTCAAACTGATAAAAATGGCTGATAATCTTTTCGAAAACATGAACAACTGGAATATAGTAGAATTGAACAAAAATCAATTGATACGTATATTGTGTATTCATTTCTATTTAACTGATCAATACTTATCAGTAAGTTATTTCATTTCATCTGTTTTTACAGTGATTGTGTTCTCTACTTTCATAGTAATAATGTGTTGACTTTTTTGGCTGACTTTCATATACGCAATCTCCAATGAATATACGACCTGAGGTCGTAAAAACTTTGCTTCACAAAATTTATCTTACAAGAATTCTAGCCACTTTAAAATACTTATCGTTTGCAATAATTTCCCCTTTTCTGCTTCCATTGTTCCAAACCTTCATGGGGGGGGGTCCTCGGAACCAAACTTCTACAGCTTCCTCTTTTCCCATATTTTTTATTTCGTTGTATTTCATTCGATTTATATCATAGTGTGGTGTGTGCTACTTATATCGAAATAAGTAGTATATAACACTAGCTAGGAAGAGAATGGCAGCAGAAGGTTGAGAAGATCGAGGAGGGAAGAATAGGGAACAGAAAGCAATTGGTATAAAAATGCAGGAACAATGAAGTTTGAGACAATTAATGAAAATTTTGTAAATGAAGTACTGGAGTATGTTTTTTTCAATTTGATCAAATAACTCTGTAACTGTGCTAAACATAATCGGCTGTCTTCACCTATGTTCTCCTTCACCACAATAGGACTCTCAATGTATGCGCTTGTTTGGACAACATTTAGTTATAATAAGCAGCGCAGAGGCCGGGACACGTATGTATTGGTCTAAGTCGTTACATGACATCAACACAGCTAGATTAATTTATCAACACAAATGCCAGAGTAGTAGAAGTAGTATTAGTAAAGATTAGGAGTAAGTAATTCGGTTCTAAAATAAACGATGAATTTGCAGAGTAAAAAGTATAAGTATCGTAAGACAAACAGGAAATTCATCTGAGACACTGTTACTGACCCCGAACAATGTCATTTAGTGTCTCCAACTATTAGTTGCGATAATCGATAGGACTCTGACCAAATAGTCCAACATCTAACAACTTCATGAACTGATTCCACATTTTGATTCGATTTCTCTAAGCTTTCTTTCAACAAACTTCCACACCACCAAACATCTTGCGTCTATGTAAGTGGGCATAGACGATACATATCTCTACCACTTCACTCAAGAAAGACTCTAAACCTCATAAACTGATTTAGCATTTCGTATTTATTACTCTGCGTCTAACCTCAACATTACTCACCCGGTAGCCGCAAAATGCACGAGTAATGTCACGAACCCATCTATCATTATGTGGTGTATGCCACTTATACTAACAGATATAAGTAGTATGTGGCCGCAATCTGAATTAGAATGTCTGGCAGCAGAAGAGTGAATTGAAGAGAACAGAAAGGAAATCGAAGAGTAATCAAAAGAACGATAAAATTAGAGGAACAATGAGGTATGTCAAGAATAACACAAAGATGTGCAAATGATGCATTTAATATAGGATTTTCATATTTTACTAAAGCCACTGTGTAATTTTGCGTTAAAAAATAAATCGGTTTCCCCAATGAGTCCTTGTTAACTACAATAATACTATTATATATATTTCTCAATTCTAGGACACGAAATCAAATGTATCATCATTTCAAACAATAGATGGGAAATCTTTTATACTGAATGAATATCAAACGGGCACTGCTCTACTCTTATGTTTAACGATTTATTTAATTAATTGGATTACTTCAAGTATATGTGGTAATACATCAAAAACAGTATCATTAAATGAACATATTTCAAGTACCATGTCAAGTGATGAAACAATCACCGGTGTTAGTAACAACAACCATATCAACAATGATAATAATATTAATAATTCGATCAATAAGGATGAGGATTCCACCTTACTTGTTTCTTCGACTGCAAACATTCATCCTACTTCTAATGATATTAATAAAATTGACATAGCAGCATGTAGACTGGAATTATTAATCGCATTGAATTTATTATTCCTTTGGTTTCGGTCAAATCGCTTCACTGAGATTAATGCAGGTAATCACGTTTAAAAAATTTATTCGCTTATATAGTATTAATTTAAGTAGTGAGTGGTGACAAAATATTCATCATTAAATCAAATAATTATTATTGTTATCATTTTAAGATGAAATCTTCGTACCTCTTATAAGTATTTGCACAGATATCGGTGTCAATATTTTTGTTATAAGCTGTTGGATATCTTGATGAGTTCATTAATTTATAATCTATCCGTTGTAATATATCGTTATTACCGAAACCCATGTGAAAATAAAACTGTGCATTTATATTAAACTCACCTTTAAAAAATACAAAGACTTATCTGTTTATTTCTTTCTACAAGAAACTCGTCTTCAAGAATTTACTAAAGTATTCGAAAAAACTATTTTCTTTACTAGTGTTTTTATGACGTTTGATGCCCGAGTCAGATACAGATACATAAACTCCCTATACTCAATTCTGGCACCCAACCGGCTACTTATTGAGAAGACTAAGAGAGGAGAATTTATTTTATTGGGTTAAACTGATTCACAATCATATGCATATATATAAATTGCGAGAGAAGTAAAACCATGTTTTGATTAATCACATGCGCTTGTCATTGAAGGGTTGTTCATTGGCCCACTATATCAGGTGTTATGATTGATGAAGGTTTCGGTGTCACTCAAGATATTATTGTTAACATTAAGTAACTTTATCATTCTATTTATCGCTTTAACTTTTATGAATTACAAACATTCTAGTCGGTTCGCTTTTCAACAGTAATAATTAAATTGTAATTACAAATTATCATTTTATAGAAATAATTTAGAACTCACGTACCAGGTAGACACTGAAAACAAATATCCCTTTACATACTAATCACCATACTACATGTTAACGAGTTCTTAAAATCACCTTATCATGGGAAAAAAAACCGATAAAATTTAAGTGTCCTTTTCTAATAGTTATTGAATAATGTACATTTTATCCTGTGAAGTTTTTGAATAAATCAGATTTCATTCTCATAAATATTTCTCTTTCTATGTTTTATCTAGGGAATAAACCATCTTATCAATTGACCGATAAATTATTTCAATTATTAACTCCTACATTCACTGAAAATACAGTGTACTTTTTAAATAATTTACTTAAACACTATCAGCCGTTATTACATAATGTCGATAATCATAATGGTGGGCGAAAACAACCTACTGATATACCTGTACAAGTAAACAATAACAATGAAAACACAAATGATCGTGTTAATAGCAAAACAATCGATGCTGATATTGTTGAAGGAGAACGTGAAAATTCTTCTCTTATTAAAAAACATGTCGATCCTTGTGATGATGATGATGATGATGATGATGATGATGATGATGATGATGATGATGATGATGATGATGATGATGATAATAACCGTGAGAGTGAAGTCCATAACATTACTCCCATAGATTGGATTCGTTTAATGAAGCTGCCTGAAATGGTCGTACTACAAGTAACTTCATTTTTATTATTTATTGATACACTTAGACTATACATGATATTGTTCTTTGCTCAGTGATCAATCAGTGTAAATATCTCAGCCCTACAGGTTAGTAGCAATCTGAATTGCTCAATGGTAACATCTTAGACTATGAAACTGGGTAACCCAGGTTTAAAATCCACGGCGGAGCACTGTCTTTCACATGATTGCAGGTACGCATTGGTGACGAATATCAACTAGCACGAAACCTAAATCAAACATAATTCTTTCCAGACTACCTCCAACCTCCTAAGATCAAAACATTGTGCACGAAATGTTAAGTCGCTTAAATTAGTGACCACGTTACAACTTGATCGATAGCGTTCGATCAGTATAATAGGCTAGATAATTATAACATTGGTCACTAGTCAGTCAATATATTGTTTTTATTAACAATTATTCTTTTAGTGTTCACCTTATGTTGTTAAATTGAAATTAAATATTTACAAATTGTTTTATCCCTTAGCATATATTTTAGCATCAATCATATTATTATAGTCCATGAAGTCACTGAATATTTATCTAACCCATGTAAGGAGGTACAAACTTCTTCAGTAGATTCTGGTTGATAAGTTTATTGTATGATTATTGATCTTAACTGAAATGGTCTGAAATTCAGAAATGACTTAATAACCGATCTTTTAAACTTTGTTAACGATTTCATGCTTCACATTTAATTTAAACTGGAATTGGAATCGTGGCAGATGAACTCACCTTTGCCTCTCATTAGATCCTGAGTTTTATCTCACATACTCATGTTTTTTTTCTCAAATCATATTGTCTATCCCTAGTCTTCCTTGTTACCATTATTGCTATCACTACTTCTACTATTCTGATATTTTGCTTTTTTTATTTGATGTTCAAACTTAAACTGATTCACATACTTGTCAGGGTAGCCGTCACGGTTGAGAAGTATATAAGGAAAAAGTTTTTACTCAAGTAATGAAGAACTATTGTTTTTGGATTGTTATAAATATTTTTTCTAGTTATTGATCTAAATTGTATGGAAGTGGTTTGGTGTCCAAAATATCCATGTTTTAATTCTTAATTTACAAGTTTAAGGTATATTCCTCACGTACCTATTTTAGTGTGTCAATATTTGGTTAGTGTCACTAGGCCTGGACAAAAAATAATGATCTAAATTTAAATACACGAATTTGTGCTCAGTTCCTGTTTTTTTTCAGAAAAGAAGTCTTTTAATGTTTCTTTCTGCTCATTTTCACAGGGTTTTCAACCACTTCATATACCAACACAACGTTCATTATGCAGTTCATTAACAGATTACAATCCTGTACATCCATTCCTTCTTGATTTCTCCAGTGATAAACTAGATGAACTAATAATTCCAAACAATGAAAATATGCATGAAACTGGTGTTTCAAAGCCTAAAGAAGTTGGATTGGAACGTGTCCTGTGCCTGTTAACATCTGCTCGGTTGGTTTATGTGCATTCTTCTAAAAAGTTTCACTAAATGTTTAATGCAAACAATGTTCTGTAAATTTTTGTTTCTTAGATTTTAAATTACCACTATGGTAGGAAAAAAGCAATATATATGTTCCATTCTTCTTAATTGCCGCTACACATAAAATTTATCTTCGCATATGTGTTTACTCAAAAGACAATTGCAAGTTAGTAATTACTTTACGGTTATTGAAATGGTCGTCTGACCGATCGATATACAAAGTGTAGTAATAATTGCAAAGACAGTTCCAACAGGAATTGGTGCGTTAAGCGTCCAAACCAAACGCAACTCTTTACAATACTATTGGAATTTAAAAGTCGACACACGCTGAACCAATTCGGATTGTAAATTATACCTTATTATTAGGTTGTTACTATTATTTTTATTATTATTATCACCATACATTAATTCATAGATATTGTTAGATATGATTTGTCAGTATTAAGAATCATAACACTTGCATAAAATTACTGCATTACACACAATAAACATATCGATGCTGTTTTAGTTAATCTGTTTTATTTTATATCGTCGTATGACTTGTCGTTCTCATTATTACTACGTGTTTCCTCTTTCATATATGTGTCTGTATTTTTGTGTACTATTCACTACTTTCAATCATATCCCTGAGTAACAACTTTATATCTTTGTTATACTTCGTCTGTGGGTGCCATTCTCCCTGTAAGGGTCTCACAACCACAGTTGTGGGTCTGGTGAGTTTAGATCACCGATTTCTGTTGCGGATATGTGCTGTCTATTATTCTCATACTTTGTATATCAATCAACCGAACGACTGTTACTACCAGAATTCTCAGCAGTGTCTAATATCTAGGAGGCAGAACACTATTTTAGCACACAACTCAAGATATGCAACCAGCAAACAGTAAGAGAGATAAGCGAGTGTATCCAAACAAATATCTAAGCTGATGAGTCATACTCAACTAAATAAGTATCTAGATGATTTCAATAATTAACGTTCAAGTACGCAAACGAAATGGCACATATAATACATACAACTATCCATACTCAATCATAGATGCACTTATGCATGAAGTCTAATTGCACATAGACTTAAGACTTAAAATAACTCGATTTTACGTCAATGAAAAGTTAATTCATAGACTCAACTCGTTCGACCATGAAAAAACCTGCATATATATTTACAACGAATGTAAAATTGCTTATCTCATTATCCATTATAAGTTAGGGTGTGTACCATCTGAAACCTTATTTGGCAAGTAAAATTAGCTCCATCGTTGAGTTGTATGACTTAATCTTTTGATCTTTGTCGCTATCTTCAACGTACATCTTCAGTATTATGACCGTCACTCATAATATCTGGATAAAACACACCTCAACACTCAATGTTTAGTGGTATAGCAGTAAGTTGGGAATAATCTAGTGGTGACCGTACCAAAGACTTAGCACCAGTTCACACAATTGTTGACTGTTGAACTGAGCTGTGTAGATTACCTGTTTGGGGCCCGCAAGATTATTGTAACCGGTAATACTACTGCTCTGATATTTGTGTTGATAGTTTTATCGCTCAGTGTTGTGAGCTGGTTCAGCTCAGAGAAACCTTCAACATCTTCGTCCTGAGCTACAAACGTTTCGTACTATACATTCATCTCGTTGTGCTAATGTAGTGTAGCAACTTGAACTGATTCAGTTATATGCGATTCATCCAATCAATTAGTCTGCAAGCAACCTAGGGCCAGCCACATATTTATTATCCCTAGAGATCTACTTTGCTCATTCATACTAACATTATTGTCACTAAGTGTTTTGTCTGTTTTTTTAACCTGATATTATTACGTTTTGCTGAAAATAGATATGTAGCTCTAGTGTTCCCATCCCTAGTAGATTGGATTCCAAATTCTAGAGATGAAAATTCAGATTCCACAAAAACAACTTCTGTCTGGTTTGGTTCATTCTGTTACAAAAGTCATTCCTCATGCAGTTTAAAAAACATGTTCAGTGTACTTAAGAAACCTACAACTATTACTGCTACTACTGCTATTAATAGTAATAGAAAAGAAACTCAGTCAAATAAAACAACTTTAAACAACTTTGAAGAGCTACGTGACACTGACACTAATCCTCTGCATTTTAACGCTGTGCTTAACAATAATGAACAAGTTAGTCCTGAAGAATCTAAAATACAAAAATCAATAAACTTTGATATGTTGAATGTAAGTAAAACAGTTGATTAAACATTATTCTAAAAATTATTAATTCCTCTATTATTGTATTTCCTATTACTCTGTGTTGATGGAACTATGACTCAACAGATACAACACTCAGATTTTAAGAAACAGATCACATATTTAAACCCCCCTTTTACTTCTGCCTGAGTAGTTGGACACAGACCTGTACTTCATAGATATGCAATTTCTAATAGAAACACCCACAAAATTTCGGTGTTTGAAGTGAAAGGCACCGGTTTTAGGTCCCGAAATAAACAGAAACACTGTGATCCAGATGCGTCCAGCAGACGAGACCCAAGTAGGACGAAACGCGCCTCCTGGATTCCCCTGCTAGCCAGCATCCATTTTTGCCTATCTACAAGATTATGTTTTGTTTAAATCAGGGATTTCTAAAAATGTTAAGTATATTTATGGAGAAAATAAAAAGATGATCAGCAGCTATGTAAATACATTAGGTGTAACTAATCGAAAAGAAATGCTCAAGTTTAAACCTGTAATTAATGGTAAAAAAATTAACGGAATTTCCATCCATAAATCAATCTACAAAGGAATGACCTCCACGAATCTACTTTTCTTCTTCTCCATCTTTTGGTTTTACCGTATAAATATTCGTCAGTATAGGGTTGCGGAGATTGTTGAACTTCATTGAAATCGTGAACCGATCTATGTAAGACCACCACTGAAAACTTGGGAGTGCCAGACGACCGTTTTGTTCTGGTATGGGACTGCTCGGCAATTTAGGTATTCACCAACGATACTCCTAATCCAAACTTCTACACTCTGCAAAACATTAAAGTCAAAAGCCTTACAGCCGAAAATACTACAAATACAATAAGCTTATCAAAACAACTATTAGTGAGGGTTCGAAACTTCGGTTTGTTGATATTCAAGACTAGAATTGATTCGTCTCTGCTGTCATATATGCATTCTTAATCGATTACATCAATATGTCGTCATTTTTTTAAATCTCAATATATTTGATATACATAACAAAAAAGATACGTTTCATTCTATTTAGAGCTTGTTATGTGAATATACTTCCTCAGTAGATAATATTTTGGCTGTTCGAAGCGAACGTTACTACGTCCGAGTCTCAATGTAAACATCAACACTGAGATTAAGGTTCATTTAGCTGACTAGTCCCAAATAAATTGAAAAGCTCATTATAAACACCCACTACCAGCCATATATATATATATATATATATATATATATATATATATATATATATTGCCCAGGACAGGGTTGGGTGGAGAATACTGGTAAGCGGCCTATGCTCCTTCACGAGGAGTGACAGGCGAAAACCAGAACAAAACCATTTTTAAAAATTAAATTTCACTACTTAGTTCATATTTTAATGAGAAGTAAAAAAACTGGATCTGATATTACTCACTGTCATTTCTCTTTTTTTAATAAATATGAAGCCTAATCTACCTGGATCGGCTCCTCCTTGTGGTAACAGCAATGAACAATTATCTAATGTGTCTGTAACTACCCATCATGAAACAATAAAAACCAATTCAATAAATAATGAAACCATAGAAGTAACTACATCAAACGATTTTGTAGTACCCTCAACTACATCATCACTACCCTCCTCATTACTATCTCATGTTGGGACCTCCGGTGGACTTATCATGAATGCGGAGTTAGCTAAATTTATTCAAGAACAAGCCAGCCAGGTGTGTATGTTTGTTTTTCCTACACTAAATTTAACTAAATGTTACTATGTATAAAAGGTTGCAGAGATATGCTTATCTAGAGCTATCTACACAGCACCTTTTGGAGTGTTCTGATGACTATAATATATCAGATTTACGACACTGATTGAATCTATGTTCCAAGCTTTCGTGCTTATTTTATTTATCGATCCTTCATATTTATTTACTTTTATCACCATGGGATTGTGTGCATCTTGGTCAAAAAGCTTCGTTTTGACATAACGAAAACATAGAATATGAGAGTGTATAAATTGATCAATCGACTTGAATGAAAAATGTCCAATTACCAAAAAACAAAAACTTGTCTCCGAAAACCTATCGATGTTTGATAGATGGAATGATACTCAAATGTATTTGCAGTAGACTCCAGACACTGATATGCAAATTAAATCATGAAATATGGAGGTAGGATCATCTTCTAGACAGAACATGATTTTGTACATTATATTGAGCCTGAACAGTAAGAAGTATATTTTTCTGTAGTTGCTGAGATTTTGAAACAAGATGGGTTTTAAACAGTTGACTTTAATGAACAGATTATAATCAACACCCTACATCCCAAGTAACAGTTACTATAATTCTTAATAATAAGAAATCAAATGTGTCTTCCGTAAAATCATGTATACATTTTTTCGACTACTGACCACTTATTACGAAATTTCAGCGTAGATTCAAAAAGCTCACCTAGATTTTACCAACTTGCATCATATATGGTATAGCAAAGATGTGTCTCCTAACTAAAGGGGTGGGTATACTTTGCATCAGTTCTCTTTGATTTGTTTTACAGTAGCAGTAAAACGTTGTCCTTAAAGCTATGTAACATACATAGTTTACTAGTTTTTGTTTATAGATGTCTTGGAAAACATTTCTCGCATATTTCGGAAACAATGTGTTAACGTTAGGGGGTAAGGGTACTAGACAAGTATAGCAAATTGGTTGATTGAGCCGTGAATCTTCATCTACGGACGTGATTCATGCTTAGATTCTTCTCATTGATAATTCTCTTCAAATTCATAATTATTCCACATGAAAATCAGAGATTTCGACCAAGTATGTGTTTTTGCAGACTGAATCTTTTTACGTAAAATTAAATAATGTTGAATAACGTCGTGTGTTAATTTTCACCTAACATTTTATCTTAGGTTGCAGCTAGACAACAACGATTCAATATGTCTACTAATTCCATTGTTAATGACGACCAACAACAACTGGAATCCACCGAAGCATCCATACCCACTACTGTTTGTGGAAATTCGGATGTTGGTTCTGTAAGAGGAAATTTACCTATGCCAGGAGGAGGACTAGAAACATCTTTATCAAGATTAAGTTTAAGCGCAACATTCAAACGAAATCTACCACCAAGATATGCTAAATTATTACAAGCAAAAGAATTACAAGAAAAAGAGGCTTTAAAAAATCGACACGGTCATCAAACGCAGAAAGAGGTATTGTTTTGTGTACATAAAATAACTGTATTTATTTATTTATTTATTTATTTGAACACATAAATATTGGTACAGGGGGGCACCAAATATATATGCGCCACACAAAACAGTGATAATTAGAAGAGAAGGAGAAAAGAGAAGAAAAAAAAAAGTAATGAACGTGGGGAATTATAAAAAAAAGAAGAGAGAGAGAGAACAATGGTGGGGGAAACGGAAAGGTACAATCAGAACAGATCTTTCAGTTAAGGAAGAATACGACCACCTTTTTATGAAGAAAGTAAAAGAAGGTTACAGCAGGATCGCCACTGGCTTCTATTCTGAGCCATATCTGATAACGTCTCTAGCCACTGCGTTACACCATCTCTCGGACCCCAACCAGGGAGTCGTGAAGGACCAACATAAGCTAGCCCTTTGCAGCTTTCTTTCATACCACGACACCATGTCATATACTGACCACCTCTCCGCTTTTTCCAACCAGTCCCAGAGTCGGCAAATAATGCACGACGAGGAATTCTCTGGGACGACATTTGTAGAACATGTCCAAGCCACCGAAGTCGGTGTTTCAAGATGGTGACACCAATTTCATTATCGTCTCTGTGACCGAACACTCGATGCCGAACCTCTGCATTACTGACATGGTGTTGCCACTGGATGCCAGCAATCCTTCGGAGGCAACGATGATCGAACACAGAGAGTCGTCTAACATCCTCAACTCGGAGAGGCCAGGTTTCACAAGCATAGAGCAAAACTGCTCTCACCGTCGAGTTGTAGATCCGACCTTTTACAGCCAGACTGACATCACGAAGGCGCTAAAGATGGCCCAGATTGGCATAAGCCGCCCTGGCTTTCACTATACGTGCATTGATCTCATCACTCACACCACCACCGGCACTTATGCAGCTACCTAGATACACGAACTTCTCGACTACTTCTATCTGCTCACCATCCAGAGTGAGTACAGGATTAGAATCCTGCCAGTCTTGTAGAAGTACTTTGCACTTCGAAGGTGCAAAGCACATACCATACCTACGGACATTAATTGCCAACTGATTAAGTGCGGATTGCATGGCTTGGGCATTCTCGCACAGTAAGACAATATCATCCGCATACTCAAGGTCGAGAAGTCTTTCTCCAGGCAACAGATCCACACCACCATTACTTACATCCGTCAGAGCTGTTTCCAGAATGTCATCGATGGCAAAGTTGAAGAGGAATGGTGAGATTGGGCAACCCTGCCTAACTCCACTGCTTGAATGGAATAGTGGAGAAAGGTGGTTGTATGCCCTCACTCTACCTGAGGTGTTTGTATATAAGGCTTTTAGGATGTTAATAAACTTCTCAGGCACACCCCTCTTCAATAGAAAATCCCAGAGAACAGTCCTATCGAAGGCAGACCTGATATCAATAAATACTACGATTGTTGGCCTTTGATAAGTATGGTGGTGTTCTAACATTTGGCGGAGTGTGAAGATATGATCAATACATCCTCGACCAGAACGAAACCCAGCCTGCTCCTCGCGAGTCAATCCTTCTCGGGTTCTGAACAACCTACGAAGTATGACGGAAGCCAATAGCTTGGACGCAATCGGAAGTAGACTTATCCCCCGATAGTTGTTACAGGAACAACGTGAACCCTTTTTAAAGATAGGGACAACTATCGACTCATTCCATGACGTTGGTACACTCTCTAGTTCCCAGATCTTTGTAAACAACGTCGTCAGTCCTTTAGTCAGAAAGTCACCACCATCTTTAAAAAGAGCCGGGGGTAAGTCGTCTGGGCCTGGTGATTTGTAACGTTTCAAGAGTTGGAGTTCCTTGCGGACTTCCGCCTCATTTGGTGGATCAGTCGTCACCGGCCAAGGAGGGCAGGACAGTCTGACCGATGTTGTCGGAGCAGCAGGCCAGTTGAACTGCCCTTCAAAGAATTCTGCCCATCGTCCAAGACGTCGATGGATGTTAGTGATTGGCGTTCCGTCATCCTCGCAGATTGTTTCGCTCACACCAGACTTCTTGCTGCCAGTGGCTCGGATGAGTTGGAAGAGCTTCCGGTAATTACCAGATGCAGCTGCTGCTTCCAACTCACTGGCACGCTCCGACCACCAGGTTTCTCGGTCCTTACGCAAGCTTTGCCCGATTTCATTACGTAACAACCTTCGTCTGTGGTCAAACTCACGGTCACCCGGAGTAGACCGACGGGCTTCAATCAGTTGTAAGGAACCAGAAGAAACCCAGTGCTTGTAAGCGGGACGTTTCGCAATCCCACAGCTGACTTGACCCGCCATTTTCATGGCGTCATGCAATTGCAACCAATGCTCATCTATACTTTTCGGTGGAATAGTGGCTAGCCTAGAAGCTAGCTCGGCTCGGTACTTACTAGCAACAGAAGTTGCAGCCAGCTTGCTAACATCAATCCTGTGGTGGCGGTCACTTCGTTGTCCACTGAAAAGTAAGGTAAGATTGGCGCAGACCAGAGCATGATCAGATTCCAGATAGGTACTCCAAAAGGAGCGGCAGTCTTGTACACAACCGCGCCAGCGGTAGCTGATCGCGATGTGATCAATCTGAGTCCAGGCTTGAGATGCAGAAGGGGGACGCCAGGTGGCACATCGGCGATGACTGTGCCGAAAGTTAGTGCTAGTCAGAAACAGGTTGTGGTCTGTGCATAGTTGCAGTAGACGTTCCCCGTTATCTGTCCTGCGACCAACGAGTCCCCATCGGCCACCTAAACGACTCTCTTCTGTGCCTAGACGCCCGACCTGAGCATTCAAGTCTCCAGCTAGTACTACAATATCTGTCGAACGCACTTTCTGGAGAAGAACAGTTAGCTGGTGGTAGAACTCGTCCTTGATTGCATCCGGGCTGCAACCTGTCGGGGCATAGGCGGAGATGACGAAAAGACATCGTTTCTCACGCCGATTTCTTCTCACTCTGATGGTACTTTCTAATCTAACAGCACATAACCGACTGTTAATGGGGATCCAGTCGACTAGTGCTGCCTCAGCTCTTGCGCTTAGTGCGACACCAACGCCAGCAAGACCAGACGAAGATGCCACAGGGTCCCCGGATAAACGCACATAAAACAAGCTTTTTGAAGTGACAGATGGAGAGCGAACTTGTAGTACTTCACCAGAGTCTTGAATACGGGTCTCGGATAGACAACAAACGTCGATATTAAGACTTTCCAAAGACATAGCCAGCCCTATCTGTTGTCCGACCTGCATAAGTGTGCGAACGTTGAAGGCAGCCAGTTTGAATGGTGCACGTGGTTTCAGAAACACTGCTTCAGTACTCGTATTCGATGGTAACATACAATTTTCAAACCAGGCAGTGACTCGAGAACGTTTAGATAAAGCTGAATTTTTACCATAGGCGAGCTGCTGTCTGAGTCGAAACGGATACAAAAAGTAGAAATAGGAGATAGTGAGTAAATGACGTAGTAAATAATAACAATAATAATAATAATAATAACAATAATAATAATAATAATAGTATCAGTCATTTCAATGTTAGTCAGAGAAGAACGAATATTTTCCGTAAGCGAATATTTCATCATGTTTTGGTGTGTGGGCTGAGATACTGCCCGGGTGCCCAAACCGAAGCAGGTGGTTTTCTTAGGTGGCCACACCCCGAGCCTTTGACCTAAAGGTCTAGTCCACAAGGCAGTGGAGCATCGTGAGGAGATGCAGTCCCATGGAAGCCGGTGACCAAAAGTTGGTTCATACGCCATTTGTTCCTTCAGGATACTGGAGCCCATGTGCACCATAGAATTGGGATCCGGTTATAGCGCCGGACGTTCGCTTTTCGTCCTCTCATTTTCGTAAACAACACCCCCGCCACGAGAAGGCAGTGAGTAGGACTTCCCTGGCAGAGGCTGTATACGCGTGGCCGTGTGAGAGTATTTCGAGAGGGAGGGCGAACCCTCCCCGCTCTCGGCCATACCAGGGCATTTGGGGGCAAAATAACTGTAAATATCACTTGATGAATTAGTAATAGACAGTTTGAGACAATTAACAAAGGATGCACTAAATCTAGGTTTTCTATCGGTCAATACTCACCAGCAGGATATGTTAACAATTTTGAGGCGACTCAGTGAGATTTAAAGCTGTGATAGCTAAGTGTCAAACTCAAGAATTTTACCGCTCAAAAACATGCTACACTTCTGGTTGGTGTTAAATGAATCTAGACAACTGACAGAAAGTTCCAAATATAGATCTGCTGCAGTTTTATCATTAGAGCCGATCAATACTTTTGACTAGACAATATGATACTGGTTAGCAAGCTAGTACCTGCTTTTCAAACTAACAACAGTGGTTTTATGAAGATATGAGTTGGATTGTAAATATATTTTCCCACCAATTGACTCCAACCAAGATTTTGATGATTGCCAGAAGTTCCGGATTACCTTCATTTATCATAAATTAGAAGCAATGATTATATTTCCTTAAAAAGCTTGAACCAGATTGTCAAACGAAATGTTGGATTTACTTAGAATTCAATCGCTGATATTTTTATGAATATAATTTCCCTCCGTTAATGGATACTATTTTTTCAGTCAGTTTAATGGCAACATTCAATTTGTTGATCTATATGCTATGATATGTTCTAAATATTGAGCTTTCATTTGGTATAGTAGAAATTCACTTCCATTTTACTCTGAACTCATATACTGCAACCTCCTAGTACGAGGTTCCTTAGCACAGTGTTACGTGATAACCATAGTTACACGGTAAACCTTCATCATGAGACGTAATCTAGGAGAGAGAGAGAGAGAGACGGAAAGAGATAACCTTCGCTCCCCTTTATCAATGTGTAAATAAGTGTTTTCAAACTATTCTCATATGTAGTAATATTAGTAGTAAGTAGTCTTTACATATCAAATATAAACTACTGAAATCTTTTTTTTCCGATTTTTTTCAACTGTTTTAGTTAAGCTCATCACTACTGCCACTTGATAAACCTGCTCCTTTAGCACGTAAAGAGTCAGAAGCACCCACAGACCTTATTTGTTTATTATCATCATCTGATATAAACCCAGTTCTACTACAACATCTTCATGAACAGCATATTCAACAACGGCCTCAATGGTTTTAAATTAATTCCATGAAGTAAGAAGAGAAAATTAAGTAAATGACAATGACAACATTACCATCAAGATCTGATTGAAGAAAAAGAAATATTAGTAGTAGTAAGAGGAACAGAAAATTCCAATGAATTTATTTGGAATGTCTTCAACATAAACAATCCTGAGATATTATTATTTTGCATTATTCTCAAAAAAAAACTAGTTCTATACCATTGTATAAGTTTGTTGATTCGTATGTTTTGTATATTGTAATAAGTTAAGATAGAATTGCTTGTTTCCTGTTTTGTTATTTTGTACTGTATTTTTAGAATAATGAGATTTATTTAAAATCTTGTTGAAATTTGTAAAAAAAATTAATTGGGATTGTGAATGTAAAACTGTCTTTCAAATAAAGATATACATATAACTCATGAGTGAGTATAAGCGACTACAGCCAAGACGAAAGGCTTATTTAGGTGATAATAAATGTTCTGACTAGTAATTCTATTGAGATAAACGCAATTCGAGTGTTTTTTTCTATTACAGAAAAAATTATAGAACATTAGTTGTGTCATGTGATTTGTGTAGCCTGCCTACGTACGTGGTCTATAAGGTAAATTTCAAAATATTTAGATACTATTTTAGGCAAATTTTACAAACTGTGCATTGTACACAAATAGCCTGAAGGTGAATTTCACAGAGATTTAGTACGATTCTCGTAACTTGCGAAAAGTCAGTCATATCCTAGGTAAGAATAAATGTCCAAATCTGATGCTGAATGATGGTTTTGATGTATTACATACTAAATAAAGCAATGGATTTCGATTTAGTGGGTCAATAATATTTTGCTTGTTATATGGTCTGAAGCTCTGGAGTGTGATTTCATATGTGAATGTGACAGTACAAGACGCGTAATAATTCTCCAGATAGAGACGTTCCTGTGGAGAAAACCATACAAATGTACAAAAACCAACTACCTAAATAATGAAGCGCTTTTTATGATAACCTATAAATCACCGTGTAAAATTTATGTAGAATAGACAACTTTTGGATTAATATATATTTGAAGTTTAGCGAGATAACTAACCCGCTAACTTGGGTTAGAAACAGATTAAGAACAACTCATCATATACTAAGCGCAAATCTGATCATCACTTCCAACAGTAAAACTTACGTTTGTTTCAAACGTCTAAACATTTTTTAGATTAACCTTTTAAATAAGTATAATATTTTGTGAAACTCATAGGTTTAGTTTTGGGCTTATCACGTACATTTACTAATCGAATGAATATTATCATGAAATAAATGCCCATAAGTAGTTAGTCTCAAGTTATTATTCAAGTCCAAGATTATAAACCGCTTTGTTTCAAATCGACTGTATTAGGGTTTAATAAATATTGCACGTGTCCGAATTAACGTTAACAGTGTGATATCCGAACTTAAATAGATGATTGGTTCGAAATTACGAAGACTAGCCAGTTAAATTCAAATACCCCAAATTATTCGTCATATATACCTGTTAGTCTGGTGTGTGCTACTGACGTCGACGGATATAAGTAGTATGTATCATTAGTCGAGAGTCAAAGAAAAGAGAACAGAGAATGATTGGTGTGGAAACGAAAGAATAACGAAATCTGGGACGATTGATGGACATTTTGCAAATGAAGTATTTATTGTATGGTTCTCAAATTTTATTAAGATATTCTGTGATTTTGTATGCACATACTTTCGGTTATCCCCACTGGTGTTTTCGTTCACTATAGTAGAACTAATATTTGTTAAGGCTAACAGGCATACTTTATTTCGAAGGTTAGGAGAAAATATTTTCTGATGGTAACCGAAGTATGGATCGACTTGGCGAATACGGTTGTACGCTAGTTTACTTCCCACGATCCAGTAGTAATACGAATGACTGGTCTTCCCCTACATTTTAAGTTTCAAAACCTAATTAGAAATAAGATATTTTTTATGATCATGGCAACAGCTTAGAACAAGCTTTTAGTCATATTTATCCTTATTCTATAGCGATTACAAATTAAAAAATGGATCACATTGAAAAATAACTCGAAAATCTGAGGGACGAACCATTTTATCATTGGAGGGGATAGCAGTTTCAGAAGGAACAGCTACCTGATTACTTGCTTACGTCTTTTACCCTTTGTGGAGGAGCATATGCCGCTCGTCAACATTTTCCATAAAACTGTCCTGGGTAATCCATCCCAGTTGATATTCATCACTATGATGTCTGCTTCTAATTCCTGACACAGTGTGTTCTTTGGTCTTTCCCTTTTCACCATAGTGTCGAAGAAGGTCCCATAAGGTCTTCCTATCCACGCTTTCAAAGGCCTTCTCATAATCAAGGAAGTTGATGGATGGTGACGAGTTCCATTCAGTTGATTGTTCAACAATGATCCGTAGTGTAGCGATTTGGTCTGCGTACAACCGATCCTTACGGAATCTCAAAGGTGGACGTATATTAAATCTTTCATCTGATTCAGCAACACTGTTGAAACTTCTGGTACCGACAGTAGTGTGAGGTCTTTGCAGTTTTCACACTTTCTCAGATCTTTCTTTGGTATCTCGATGAGTTACCCTTCTTTCCAGTCTGTCGGTGGCATTGTTCCTCGTCCAAAATCTTCCTAAATAGAATGTGAAGCGTGTTTGCAGTTGTTTCTATGTGTGACTTCAGTGCTTCGGCTGGTATATTGTCAGGTCCTACTGCTTTCCCACTCTTGACTTGTCTGATAGCCATCCTGATTTCTTCCGTCGTTGGTGGAGTGTGCGTGTTGCTTTGATGTCCGTTGGATCCAATGGAGCTGGACTATTCAAGAGTCTCTCGAAATGTTCTACCCATCCTTCCTCTGTTCTTGAATCTCGATAATCGGCCTGTCTTTTTTGTCCTGGACCGCCCACTCTGGTTTACCATATTTCCTTTCCAGTTTCTTCGTTGTGTCATATAGTTGTCTCACATTTCCTTCTCCTACAGCTTCCGCTGTCGCTGATAGCTCTGCCACGTATTTCTGCTTTTCAGCTCTAATGCTCTACTTCACTTGTTTGTTTGTTTCCGTGTATTCAACTTGTGCCCTGACTCTCTGTTCCTTTTTGACTTCTGTTACTTGCTGTCTTCTTGTTCTTCCTTTCTTGAATCTTGTCTTGTGCTTCAATTGAAATCCCTTCCTTATGATGATGCTTGTTGTGGTCCAGCACCTCTCTGATACGTTGAAATTAGTGCTTCTTTGATCCCTTTCTAGTCGTCCTCCATCGCAGTTTCTTCTTCTTTGAGATCTTGTACAGTTGGAACCTGTTGTTGAGAGCTATCTTGAATTGGTTGAGTTTGTCAACATGTCGAAGGAAGGCTGTGTTGAACCTTTGTGCTGCTGTCTCCCCAGCTGTCCATTATTTTTTCAGCTTCGATTTCACCTTAGCAATCACCAGCTAGTTGTGTTCTATTGCCACGTCAGCTCCTTTCCTGGTTCTCATGTCTTCCATTATTCTTCTGAATTTTTTATTGATACAAATATGATTGATCTGGTTCTGGGTATTGTGATCCGGTGAGACCCATGTAGTTTGTCGTATGCGTTTGTGTGGGAATATTGTGCCGTCTATAACTAATTTGAATGCACATAGTTTTGCGAGTCTCTCATCATTCTCGTCCCATATCTTCATACCGTTTGTTGTCCATTCCAACGGCCGGCTAGGTCTTTCATCATGATGGCCAATTCGTTCCCTGAGCACTTCGCTATGATGACTGCAACCTCTAATAATACTGATCTTTATCATCTTCGTTGCTATCATTGATGGGTGCTTTGATGATCCTGGGTCCATGACATTTCCGTCCTATATGGGCTTTCCGTTCTTCTTTGGACAGCATCAGAGCAACTCCCTGAGTGTGTAGAGCACTGCCTTCTTCGCGATCACAGTACAGCAGCATCTCTCCCGAATCCATCCTATTCTGTCCAGATTGGGTTCAATGTGTTTTACTGATTCCGAACATTGTCAAGTTGTATCTCATTATTTCCACAGTTATTTAGTTGGTCTTCCCGATCTCCCACATTGTCCGAACATTCCATGTACCCATATAAGTTGTTGCTCTGGTTGTTAGAAGAGGCATTAGCCTCGTGACTACCAAAGAATTTCGGACTTCATCATTTTTCCTTCAACTCTCAGGGCAGAGTTCAAATGGTTTAATTTTTTAGCGTTTGCCCCCAAATGCCCTGGTACGGCCGAGAGTGGGGAGAGTCCGCTCTCCCTCTCGAAATGCTCTCACATGGCCACGCGTACATAGCCCCTGCCACGGAAGTCCTACTCACTGCCTTCACGTGGCGGGGGTGTTGTTTACAAAAATGAGAGGACGAAAAGCGAATGTCCGGCGATATAACCGGATCCCAAACCAATGGTGCACATGGGCTCTAGTATCCTGAAGGAACAAATGGCGTATGAACCAATGGTTGGTCACCGGCTACCATGGGACTGCATCTCCTCACGATGCTCCACTGCCTTGTGGATCAGTTCTTCAGGTCAAAGGCTCGGGGTGTGGCCCCCTAAGAAAACCACCTGCTTCGGTTTGGGCACCCGAGCAGTATCACAGCCCTCACACAAATCAATTGAGATTCGTGTGGCGCATATGTATTTGGTGCCTCCTTGTACCAATACCTATGTGTTAAAATAAATAAATAAATGTGTTTGTTTAGCAATGTTGTTTTCTATGGGTTGGGTACGCTGATGCCACGCCAAACCCTCCTGCTTTGTGTGGGCTTGGGATCAACAGCAGCCCTAGAAGAGTAATAGGCGGAGTTGGTTACTTCGAAGTTTAATCTGTAACTGAGTTAAATAGTTTAATTTCTTATGTTTATAAAAATATCAGTACACTGATCTATGAAGTCGATTTTTAACCCTGTTTAATACAAGTTGAAAACTTAACCAGCATTTCAATTTGCATAAAACAAAATACGTTATAACAGTAATCTATACATTAAGTAATGTTATCACTTTAATTTACAGACACGGTGAAAATATATCAGTAGGATAGTTACTCGTCATAATTATCATCATCTCCAATGACTGAAGAGCCTAAAATTCGTCCGGATCCAGTAGCTGTAGGCAAAGTAGATGATTCAGTTGCTGAATTAATATCTCCAGAGTTAACGTTCGGATAATTACAAGACTGTGATAATCCATGTCCGATCATGTAGTTACTAAGGTCTGATGCGGCACAATTTGAAGCTGCCAACAAGTCTTCTCTGTCTAACCGTTCCCCAATGAAATCAGCCCTAGCCTTTAAAAAAAGTAAAAATTAATCGTTAAACATGCAAATGAACCATTGTGAGTTATGATCAGTTACCGAATGCAACGAACTGATTTTTAAGTGAGAAGTAAGTTGGATATCAAGTACTGAAAATTCATCAGTAACTTGGTATCTAACGTAGCATCT